TCTGGATCCTGCAACTTCATCTTCATCATCTCAAGCTCCATCTTCTTCCATTTGCAATCTCACTGTTTCTGATTCTAGTTCTCTTTGGCATTCAAGACTGGGTCATCCATCTTTTCCCAAGATTCAAGCTCTTTCTGAAGATCTTTCTCTTTCAAAAACAAAACTTAAAGATTGGTCACATTGTCAGACATGTCATCTTGCAAAACAGAAACGTTTACCTTTTCCTTTTCTTAATAATCTGTCTCAGAAACCTTTTGATCTTATACATTTGGATGTTTGGGGTCCTTTCTCTGTTGTTTCAGTTGAAGGCTTTCGTTATTTTCTTACTATAGTGGATGATTGCACTAGAGTAACTTGGGTTTATCTCTTGAAATCAAAAAGTGATGTTTTAAAAGTCTTTCCCACTTTTATACAAACTGTTGAAACACAATTTTCTAGTAAAATCAAAGCCATTCGTTCAGACAATGCCCCTGAACTTTCTTTTACTTCTCTTCTTCAATCCAAAGGAATATTTCATTACTTTTCTTGTGTTGATACACCACAACAAAATTCGGTTGTGGAGAGAAAACATCAACACATTCTAAATGTGGCCAGGGCTCTTCTTTTTCAATCTAATGTGCCATTACAATATTGGTCAGATTGTGTTCGCACTTCTGTCTTTCTCATAAACAGAACTCCTTCAACTCTTCTCCAAAATAAAACTCCTTATGAACTATTACTCCAAAAGAAACCAAATTATTCAAATCTTAAAAGTTTTGGTTGTCTTTGTTATGTGTCTACCTATCCAAAAGATAGACACAAATTCTCTCCTAGAGCAACACCCTCAGTTTTTCTTGGTTACCCTTCTGGATACAAAGGTTATAAAGTCCTTGATCTTGAAACTCATTCCATTTCAATCTCAAGAAATGTTTTATTTCATGAGGATATCTTTCCTTTTCAGTCTTCTAATCTCTCTTCTTCCACCATTGATATTTTCTCTTCTACTATACTTCCTCTTCCTATTCCTGATTCATCATCATCTTCTTCTTCCATTCCTCATCTTATTCCTGAAGTTTTATCTGATAACAGTAATGTCTCAGTAGAATCAGATTCTACTATTCTTGTTGATGGAAACAGGCCTAAGAGGAACACTCGTAAGCCAACTTATTTGGCTGATTATCACTGCAATCTTGTACGACACATCCCTAATGACAGTGGTAATACTTCCCATCCATTGCAAACGGTACTTGATTACTCTCAGCTGAATGATCACTATCAACAATTCATTTTCAACATTTCTGCGGAGTCAGAACCAAAAAATTTTGCTGAGGCTATCAAGTCTGAAAAGTGGCATGGACCTATGAATGAAGAACTACAAACGTGTGTTAACACTGGTACATTCTCTGTGGTCACATTGCCTGAAGGAAAGAAGCCCATTGGCTGCAGATGGGTTTACAGGATAAAGCATCATGCTGATGGGACTATTGACAGATACAGAGCTAGATTGGTTGCTAAGGGTTATACTCAACAAGAAGGAGTGGATTATATTGATACATTCTCTCCAGTAGCAAAGCTTGTTACAGTCAAATTATTACTGGATTTGGCTGCCAAACACAACTGGTCTCTAACTCAAATGGATGTTACAAATGCTTTTTTGCATGGTGATCTTGATGAAGAGATTTACATGGAGTTGCCACCAGGTTACACACCACCTCCTGGTGAAAGCTTGCCTCCAAAAGCAGTTTGGAAACTCCACAAATCACTCTATGGGTTAAAACAAGCTTCAAGACAGTGGAACAAGAAATTTTCAGATGTGTTATTGGTGAATGGTTTTACTCAATCTCAGTCAGATCACACACTTTTTGTACGGCAAGTGGGTAACACTTTTCTTGCTTTACTAGTGTATGTGGATGATATCCTTATTGCTAGTAACAGTGATCAAGCCGTCTCAGATTTGAAGAATATTTTGTCCACTGCTTTTAAACTCAAAGATCTTGGTCCAGTTAAGTACTTTCTTGGACTTGAAATTGCTAGAAACAAGAATGGAATCTCCGTTTGTCAACGGAAATACACTTTGGATTTGTTGGAAAGTGTTGGTCTTCTAGGTTGCAAGCCAGTGGCAACACCAATGGACTCTGATATACATTTACATGCTGAAAGTGGTGACTTATTACCTGATGCCACAGTATACAGAGCTCTCATTGGCAAGCTGCTGTATCTTACTATTACAAGAGCTGACATTACTTTTGCTGTCCACAAACTGAGTCAATATCTCTCTCAACCAAGGACTCAACATTTACAAGCAGCTCATCGTATTATCAGATACTTAAAAGGAGATCCAGGGCGTGGTCTGTTCTATGCTGCAAACTCTGAATTCAGACTACAAGCTTTTTCAAACGCAGATTGGGCAACTTGTCAAGATTCACGCCGTTCTACTACTGGCTTCTGTGTTTTCTTTGGTTCTTCTTTGATCTCATGGAAATCCAGAAAGCAACAAACTGCCTCACGTAGTAGTGCTGAATCAGAATACAGAGCCTTAGCTGATACAACGTGTGAATTACTTTGGCTGAGTCAATTGCTAAAGGATCTTCATGTTCAAGTTACTGGCCCAGCAAATCTCTACTGTGATAGCACTGCAGCCATTCAGATTGCTTCAAATTCAGTCTTTCACGAACGCACCAAACACATAGAGATAGATTGTCACATTGTTCGTGATAGGTACAAAGCTGGTTTTCTGAATTTGTTGCATGTTACTACGGATAATCAACTGGCTGATCTGTTTACTAAAGCTCTACCTCCCAAGACATTCAAGATGCTCATGTCAAGATATGCTTTTTCAAGTCTCTTTCTTCCTTCTTGAAGAATTCGACTTGAGGGAGGGATATTAGAGTATAGTAATACATGTAAATAGTTTTTACTCACATGTAATTTTATTCACTATATATACTGTACATGTAAACACTTTTACGCTTAATGAGAAATAACAACTTTCTGATTATCTCTTATCTGATACATAAAATACATATTTACGGCTATATAATCGGCGAAGTAGTGGATACCTCTCTAAGTTTTCCAAGCAATAAATTTTCTTGGTGGTACGTCAGTACGTGAAATGTACTAATGAAGTCGTATGTATTATTTTATGTGCAAATTGTTACACACACAGGCACTAATACGACCAAATGGTTACACACACGAATAACGTAGTGCATATCTAATACTCCCTCGAAGAAAAGAAAAAAAATACAGGAGGAAGGAGCGGTATCTGCGATGAAAATCGTGGAGGGTTTCTATAATCTGCAAGTTTCTTTAAATAAATGTCTCAAAACGACAACCTTTCTTTGTTATTTTTGGAAAGTGGTGCGAGAAGCTTCACTGAGCTTCGGGTAAGTTGCTATTTTATATTCTTATTATTCCTATACATTCATGATATTTTCTCGATCCCCTAGTAAAATAGCATCATCTCTTTATTTTCTTCTTAAAACTGTGTTCCCTCTTGTTCTTTAGTTGTTCGTGATTTCGTAATGAGTGAGTACTTTCGAAATACAATAATATTAATAGAGGATTCACTTGTTAATTGGCTTATCATTCAAGTTGAAACCAATGGCGTATATCTTGGATTATAGAAATAGGTTATAGGTACGTCGACAGGAATCGAGGTAATTGATTCACAATATTTATAGTATAATATTTTAAGATTCTATATTCTTACGTTTTAGATGAAGTACTTGTACTTTCCTAAGAGTGTATTTCGGTATAATAACAGATAGTAGGCCACTTTATAAGTAATAAACTATCTATTTTGAGAGATAGTTAGTTAGTTGTTTAGTGGTTGAGGTGGTTGAAGTAATTCACTATAAGTGTTTAGAGATTGTGTGATTCAAATCATTACTTTCACAATCATGATTTCAAAATTTCAATCATATATGCATGGTAAGTAAAATATTCGGTTTTTGATGGATCACTAGAAATTAATATAAGTTTCAACTCATGGTCTTAGGTTATAAGAATATTAGAACTAATGCATCAAAAGTGAACTTAAAACAAAGACTGTATAGGTAACTAAGAAACGCATTGAGTGCTAATATATAGAATCTAATGACAACATAATTTTTTGCATTTGCATATTATAGATATGTGTGAAAAACTTATCGTCGACTAATATATTGATAGCTCCTAAAGCAGGGGACCAAAACTCTTGCTGTATTTTCTTATTATTCTAAACAAAACTGGCCTGGATGAGTGAGAGAGGACCACACTTTTTTCTTTTTATTTTTCTTATATAATTAATATAAAATAAATTTTGATCTGCACTGTTCCACAGACTAAAGTTGTATGCAGCCGATATCTTAGACTTAGACAGTTTAGCACCAACAACATTAATTTCCAGATTCATATTTTAAATTTAGTGATTTTTAGATGGAAACAAATTCCAATATCTGGAGACAGTTCATGTTACACACCTAATTAGTAGTGAGAACAAATTTCAACATAATAGATGATTAAATAAGTAAAAATAAGACTTTATTAACAAATTAAGATGAGTTTATTGGTTTGTGTAAAATTCTTAATTGACATATACTCCGATCTTCTCCCAAATGTTGCCATTCAACTAACTAAATTGCAGAGTTTAGTTTTTAAAAGATCGTTAAATTCTTAGAAAGAAAACTAAATCCTTGAGTTTCTGACTTCACTATAAATATTTTGGTACATTTTTCATTTTCTTTTTGTCAATCCAACATCTTTTTTTTTTTTTTAACCAGATAAAGTTGGTAATATTTTTTCACAAAAGTAATGTTTGTTCTTGGATGTTCAAACACATAATGGGCCATTCCCAGAATCTTCAAACACTTACTGGGCCATTCCCAGAATCTCCAAACATGTAATGGGCTATTTCCAGATTCTTTAACGGACTCTTCTCTTCAAGATTGGGCTTCGTTACAATTTGCAAATTCTAAAGTTAACAACGATAATACGATTTTGCCCTTCCACTTCCCCATATTTAAACAGTTTCTGATCCACAAAACCCTAACCCTAATCTCAGCCGGTACTCAGAAGCAGAGAGAGACTGAGGAAGTTTCGTAACCCCCAAATCACAACCAAAAAATGGGTCGCGTTCGCACGAAGACTGTGAAGAAATCATCTCGTCAGGTGATCGAGAAGTACTACTCTCGCATGACTCTTGATTTCCACACGAACAAGAAGATCCTCGAAGAAGTCGCAATCATCCCATCGAAGAGACTCCGCAACAAGATCGCTGGTTTCTCCACTCATCTCATGAAGAGGATCCAAAAGGGACCTGTCCGTGGAATCTCCCTCAAGCTTCAGGAGGAAGAGCGTGAGCGCCGTATGGACTTTGTCCCTGACGAATCCGCCATTAAAACCGATCACATCGAGGTCGATAAGGAGACGCTTGAGATGCTTGCTTCCTTGGGAATGTCTGAGCTACCAGGTGTTGTTAAGGTGGATCCAGCCGCTGCTGCTCCGGTTGCTGCATTTGGATTGGGTCGTGGAAGGAGGTACTAGAGTGTCCATCGATCAAATCAATCATCATCTTTCAGATGTGTGGTTTCTTAGTGTCTTTTATCTGCAAATTTTTGTTTGTGCCTTTTTTTGTTGGATCTTGAATTTCTATGCTCTACTATATGCTTTAATGTCACTTATTTTGCTGGATAAATTTCTCTACTTTATTTTGCAATTGTCAGATTTCATATATTGTTTACTTCTTTAGATGAAATTTAGGTGAATATACATCCCAAAATTGGTAGATGAAGCTCTAATTTGGTTAACCAATTTAGATTTTGATGTGATTCAAGTGAAATGGAACTGGTATGAATCATAATGTACATAATGTATTTGCACACTCACACTCGAAATGTATACAAACGTTTAGTGTATATCTAAGATTGAATCTCAGAACCAAAATCCTCTATCAATCATTTGAATTGCCTGCCATGCCGACTAGTTTGAGCATGTTACGATCTTCCTTAAATCTCTCTAGAACAGTACCTTTCGTAGCGTTATGTTTGGTGTCTTGTTCGTTTGAGGCCTGAACGACTCCCCAGCATTCTATCACTTCTGGCTGTATTCTGCTCGTCTTGGAAAGGCTCGGGCTACCAAATGTTGTGCATTCAAATGTCTGGCCTTGGTCGAAGCTTGCTGATATAAACAGACCAAAGTGATTGATTTTACCTCCAAATCCTATCCCATTTGGAATGTTCTCCGATGTGAAATTCGTAGCACACTGCGAGAGTTTACATATGTTACAATATGCTTATTTATAATCCTCATATATAGAAGTATCAGAGCCTCTGTAGAGGCATACCCATTGAATGTTGTTGTTTGCTCCAGTTGGTCGGTAAATGGCTGCTTTAGGGTTTACCTGGAAAAGAAAAGACTTCATGTCTCCATAGAAATCGCTATACCTCTCCCAAGGTTGAGAGGCGTATCCTCCGTACACACATCCCTCTGCGTCTTTGATGATTAGCACAGATGACGACATACCAGTGTTTCTACATGATAATTTAAATTAGCAACAAAACTAGTCGTGTCTTGATTATTACTTAGTTAAGTTGCAAGCAAGGATAAGCGTAGTTGAATTGGAAAACCACTCACGATGTGTGTCCGAGGAATGTGTTGAAGCTTTGACCGTGTAAGGAACTGTGATACAGCAGCTTCCACTCTACAAGCTCGTGGTGAGGAAGAGCTCCTCCAATATGCCAAGCGTATTCCTTCTTTAATAGTAGCCTATCTGAACTCACACTATCTTCATAAAGCAGATGCGGGACTTGATATCCAGGTCTCACTATAACAAGGTTCAGAGGAAAAAAAAAATTTAAAATAAGGAAATTTTTTTCCAAATATGTCAACAAGAACTGAGTTAAGACGAGAGAAGACAAAGGATAAACCTGTACTCGGGGGCATAAGCAAGCTTCCGAGGAACTTTCTGATGGTTGGAACGAGAGAGCACCAGCTTCTGAAATCCTCAAAAGACATTCCTTTTTCAGAACCACCATCGGATTTTGAGAAAGTAGCGGCATTGAGTAACGCATCCACCATCTCTTTGTAATCACTTGATTCCGCATCAGAACTTTCAGTGGAGAACACACTCTTCAAAATCACCACCAGTACCGACTCTAAATCAGGCCTGAATACATACTAGAATATGTCACACTACCAGAATAACCATCTAATCTAAGAATCTCAATTCAGTTTCTATCCAAATGAGTTGTTAAGCTCATCAAGAGACCCAGTAATGGAACTTGGATCACACAAAGAAACTTGAATCCACAAGATCGATACCTTGTCAAGACCCCATTGCCATTTACATCCAAAGTCTGGTAAATAAACTCAGCAATCTCATCATCAGTTCCTTTCTCGTAGGTTGCCTAAAAAGCAACAAGAATTGAGTTCAACACAACAATCCCAGAAATACAAATCGAATTGAACTCTGCATTATAAGGATCTTCAAAAGCTCAGAAGAAGAAAGCAATGATTAAGAGGATAAAAAGACAAGCGTTGTTACCTTAGCAATAACAAGATCTTCAAAAGTCAATTTATCATCTTTCCTGTGTTGAGTGACCATCTCAAAGATCCTTTCTCCTAAAGAACCACTCAGACCAAAATACTCCTGCCAAAATCGAATCCAACACACATCGTGAAGCTCTTAATTCAAACATCAACCACTGAAACCAGATAAGAACAGAACACAAAAATCGTCAAAACCTGGAAAACAGGATACGAGACGTATTGGTCATTGCTCTGGGACTTGGAAGCGAGGGAGACGGAGAGAGATTTGAGATCATCGAGCTTCTTCTGAGTAAAAGCTCTGCAACAAAACAAACACACAATTGATAAGATCGATTTCGAATTGAGAAACTAGAGAGCGAAGGTGAGATTGGTTCCGATGTAGACCTGGAAGCAGAAGTGAAGCGATGATCAACAGAAGACGACGAATTCGAATTTCCCATTTTCGCCGGGTTTTTTCTCCTCTTCTCCGGCAGGTTTCGTCTCTTGATCTTCTATTATTTGTTTGATCTTTCACTTCTATAAATTTACAACTTCACCCCTTAAAAATCTAAATATTCTTAATTTACCCCATTACTTTCGTTGATCTCGAAGAAGCAAAGTAAATATAATAAAGTTGTGGAGTTGAAAAACTCAAAAGAACATAAAAAACGAAAATTGTAAGAAAGATACTGAAAGGCAAACACGAAGAGCACAACTAGAGAAGATTCATGCTTTCAGATTTTGACTGGTGAGTCTAATTAGTTTACATATATAGAAAACTTAATTGCAAATCGTCTTTGTTCTCATCGAATCTATACTTCTGTTTTGACTTTGTGGCCGATAATATATACCAAAACTAGTAAAGCTAAGCTCTTTTGTAATGTTTAATCAGAGCAGAGAATTGTTATTCTTCCTTTATTGGAAGAGAAATCTTCTTGGCTTGATTCAGAGATTTTGGAATGTGAAAGTTTAATCCTTTCTTACAGTTCGTGTGAAAAGAATGTTTAAAGATTACTGTGATTTGGATCTTTCTACAGTTCTTAGTTTGTGATTTTGAGTTGTGGTGTTTGGTTATGCAGCAGGTTAAAGGCAAGCCAATAAAAAAAGACCATTACTTGCAAGATGACGAGATCGTGGGTGCTTTTGTTTGTTCTTATGTTCATTGTGTTGACTTCTCAGTTTGAGTGGAATGAACAAGTTGAGAGTGAAGCTGAGACAAGTCGTCCTCTGGTTCTTTCAGATAAAGACCAACCTCATATACCACAAGGCAAAGATTCTGTGCAAGAAAAGGTTTGTTTTTTTATTCATTTTGATGTCTCTACCTCTTTGGTGGAATTCAAACAATATAGAGTTGTTGTGTATAAGGAAGGAGATGGGTTCTTAAACTGATACTTAATTTGTCCAGTACCTTCGCTGAGACACATTTTGTATCAGTTTATTACTTAGTTTGTTTAGATGTTGAAACAGAGTCTATCTGTTTTCACTCTAAGTCTAATTGCTTCTTCATTTTACTTGTCACTGTGGACTGTTTGTCTTACTCTGCAGTTTTGTTTTGTTTAGTTTGGTTTTTACAAACTTTTAGACGTAGTAAAGCTGCATCTCTGCATTTTCGTACATGTCACTTCAGCAACTCACTCCAGATGTAGTTTTGTCTTTAGAGCTCAAGGTCTATTCTTCTGAAGCTCTCTAAAAGCAACTTTGTGATATGTTTTTTTTTTTTTTTTCTGATATGCGAGCTCCATCTGCTTTCTGCTGTGTCACTGTTAAATATAGTCTTGGGAAAACAATAAAGGCTAGTTTCCAACTTCATCCCATCCCTTTGAGCATATCCCAATCTTGAGTTCTCCAAGTGATGCATTCGCAGAAAGAAAAAGTATATCAAGCATAGTTATCTGAAATTCCACACTCGTAGTTAACTTTACTAAACTATTTGATTGCCAAAGGATATGCGTCATAGTATGATCTAATGATAATATGAATGTCTATTTGTGGCAGAAAATTCTATCTCAAGAAAAGAAAATTCAGAAGCTTAACGAGCTGGTCCGAGATCTAAGGAGGCAGTTGCTGCAATGCAGAAATGAAAATCAGGTTGAGTTAACGGAGCTAGAAACTGAGCTTGATCAGCTGCTGGTAACAGGTGTTTAGTCCATATTACAGGTACATTCTTTACCCCTAGTACATCTTTCTGTGTAGTGATGCATGATTTGAAAGCATTCATTGACTTAAGAGTTACTATTGATGAATCTTGGAATTACCTATTAATTTAGGCTTTAGATATGGTGGATGGCTAGAATTAAGTTGCCAACTAATTTGATACACTAGGAGATATCGGTTTTATTAGATATGATTAAGACACAATATGGCGCATGGTTTCTAAATTATTATCTGGGCCAGGCTTATTAAAATTAATTTTCCATATGAATTTCATTGTTAGTTGATCAGCTACTACATTCATCATGTTTCACGAGTGCTTTGCTTGCTGTCTCGACTCTCGACCTTTTACTTTAGAGATTTCAATAGATCAGAAGAGAGTTAAGAGGTAGCTGAGAACTTTTATAAGCTGGCCAGAGATATAATGAAGGGAAGTACTTATTTGCTTGAAGATAAAAGGTTTCACTCTACTTGATCAAAAGTACTGTATTCTGAATCACAATCATGGTGTGTGTGCAGGTTAGTGCTTTTACTCAGTAATCCTCCATAGGCTTCAAGTGTAAATCCAGATTCTTGATCAATCTAATACCGTAGCCCCTCTTTCTAAGCACTACACTTGAAGATTCTGTAATTTGAAGGAGAAATCAAAGAAGAGTGGTCCTGTGTGAAGTACATCAAGTATGTATAGCTAAGGCATGACATTTGGTTTATTTTTATTTTCTTGTATTTTTATCATTATAATGAAAGTGTGGCACTAATTGGTGGACTCAATAACTTGGACATTTATGGGAAGACCAGCGTCTGCAAAAAATAGGACACACAAAAAAATAGAAGAAGCCAAAAACTCGTGAAAATTTTACTTACTGAGTATTTTGTTCCAAATCCAAATTGTTCTAGTTTAAGTATAAGTATTCCCCATGTAAATCCTTATGCTCAAGCCAATGTATGTAGATCCATTTGAGGTTGATCAATAAACTAGAAGAAGCAGAAAAAAAACTTGAAATAATCAAACATTATAGTTATTTCAAATACATTCCGATCAAATCTAGCAAAAAGTTATTGTTAATTTATTTTTTTACTTGAATATATTAGTCAAATCAATATTTGTGCAAGTCTATGAGGTTTGACATATCCCAAAAAAAAAAACTAAAGGAATTGTAAAATCTTAGATGGATATAACTATTCAAATCGAACTGAAGTGAATCGACTCAAAAACTCAATATGCTAACTCTGAAGTAGAGATAAACTATGTAAATTACTTTGTCAATCTTCATAACATGTTTTGACTATTAATTATTTAAGAGTTTTGGTGTTTTACACCACATGAAATAGATCCGTTGTTATCGTTTCTATCTTTATGATCCTCACTGGTCCATTTTCCACGCATCGTTATTTACTTATTTATGTACTTCCATATGCATGATTTGTCAACATATATATAGTTCTATATAATTATTAACATCTCTCGTTTCGTTGAATATGGAAGATATCTTGATTTTATATATAGGTTAAATATAGGGGATAATTTGACCTTAAGCTAATGTTTTGAATGCTTTAAGTAACGGCTGGCTGAAAGTGCGAGAGAGCTACATCTTCACTGGCGGTGTAAGTAAAGATACAACCATTAATATTTTGTGTTGGTCTTATGGCAAAAAAAATGAAATGCATGAACCTAAACTCAAAAATTCAATACTAATGTCTGTTAAAGTTTTACTAGAAACCAAATCAGAGTTCGATTCGAATGATGACATTTACAATTGTATCTTTTGGTGAGATCACGTTGGTTTTTTTAATTCTTCTTTGGTTGACGCGAGGAGCGAGGTATAACAAGTAACCTTTTTTCAAGGGGAATAACTATATAACTAAACCCTAAAGTCAGCATTAGTAACCCATCATAAAAAAATACAACAAAACAAGTAAGCATTAGTGTTTGTAAGTGTGCCCACGTCGTTTACACGAATGTTATTAATTCGACAAGTCAACTAAATGATTTTTTATAGCCAATGATGGGCGATGAAAGTCAATTAAGTTGTTTAACTGTTTTAACCAATATTGTTATTGAATGAATGAATTCTCATGCACTGTAAAAATGAAAAATAAAAATAAAAAGAGAGAATACCTATACTTGGCGGTTTGATATCCAATTGACATGCCATAGAAAAAAAGATTGTTAAGAAGATTGTTTTTATGTCCTTGTGTTGAAAGATACGATCTTCACAATGATAGTATGATCTTTGATGCATGTGATATCAAGTTGCACATTGATTGGTGCAATTAAGGGTACCCAATTTATTGAAAGGAGCCGAATTGCTAATGCTCGCTTTGCTTATTTTCTTTGAAGTATATGTAGTACTATTTTGCAAACTCATTTCTCATTAACAGAAACAATCGATCTGAACATGATTTGGGTTTGTAATTTAATAGTTTGTACTACTGTTGTTGTCGTGTCTAACCATGATTTGTATCCGATCGTAATGTCAAAATATGAAAATTGCTTAAACCAAAAAACCTCGGTAAGAAAATTAAGAATACACCGGGTTTGATTGGTAACAAACTGTTAGCTGTTAGCTAGAGCGGTTAGCTGGAGCTGTTAGCTGTTAGGGAATAGTGCAAAGCTGTACAAAAGAATAAAACACGAAAGCTGTACAAAAAAATAACGCAGAACAAATTTTTAAAATTTATTCTGATTGGAAACATCATAGCGGTACACATAATAAATAATATTAAGAATCTAGAAAGAAAGAAAAAATTATATAGAAATGTACTTTAGTATATAATTACATATGAAAAATAAGATTATATAGAATGAACAATATTTTATTGTTAGAATAATAATATGAATTTACTAGTCCTATAATAAATAAATTTTTCTTTATTTTGAGCAATATAACATTCCAAAATAATTGTTTGAGAAAAAAACCATTATTTATAATGAGATTTTTTCATAGGCTGTATTATTTACTTTTTCGGAAATCTTTATCTGAACATTCGAGACTTTTTTTTTTTTGCATTATACATAGTTACAATTATATTTTATAAAGTTTAATTATGCGGTTAATAATACGGTTAACCGTGCGGCTAATCGTTCTGTTAAATAACGGTTTTGATACGTTTCCGGTATATTAACGGTTACGGTTAGTATATTTTTTTTAACCGTAACTAATCTAGTTTTTCGGTGAATGGTTATGGTTTTTAACCGTTTTATACAGTTACGGTTGAAAAACGGTCCAGTTACGATCCAAAATACGGTTATGGTTAGCTTTTGGTCATGCTTACTAGGCATGACCAAAAGCTAACCGTAACCATATGTTGTACCGTAACCGGACCGTTTCTCAACCGTAACCGTATAAAACGGTTAAAAACCGTAACCGTAAAAAATAATTAGTTACAGTTAAAAAATATATTAACCGTAACCGTTAATTAACGGTAAACATATGAAAACCGTTATTTAACCATATGGTTAACCGCATAGTTAAAACTTTAAAAATATAATTGTAACTCCATATAATGCAAAAAAAATTATCGAATATTTAGATTAAGATTTTCAAAAAAGTAAATGATACCGCATATGAAAAAATCTACGTTAAAAAAAATAGTCTTTTTCTCAAACAAATATGTTATACTGTTATTTTACTCGAAATGAAGAAAATTTGGTTTGTAACATACTTTTTGATTTTATGAAAAGTATTATAATAAGTTAGGTAACTCGTAAGATTTCGCCTCCGATATTAACCGTATTGTAGTCATCAAATAACTATAACTGTAATTATCCGTAACCGTTATAACCGTAACCGTATTTAACCGTAACCGTTATAACCGTATTTAACCGTAACCGTTATAACCGTATTTAATCGTAACCGTATTTAACCGTAACCGTTTTAATTTACTTTTGTTTTTGTCCAAAAAACAGTTTTTTTTTTTTTATAGTGTACCGCTTTTCATAAAATTTTTGTGATCGGTAACTGACAAAGCTGTACAAAGCTGTACAGCTTTAAAATTGGTTACCAATCATAGCCACCATTCACTAAGGAGTTTACACATCCAATGATTATATTTGTCATCTATCAACTTTTTATTACGACATCGTGATAGAGTTTAAAACTGCTGCTTTACTCGTCGTCTAAAATGTACAATAGTTTGACTTAGCCACTTGGATTATTATTATTATTGTAACGAATTCGAAGCTCTTTCCATTTAACGTATAGTCAGATTATTTTGGGCCAAAACAGAAAGATAACAAAATGGGACCAAAGAACAAAGAAGTAGATTTACGAGGAAGAAGGTAAGCTAAGACATAACAAAATAAAAAATAAAAAAATTGGTCCCATCCAATTCGTAAACACAAATTCTTACATAGTGGACTGACACTTAGTCGGAAGACATTCCAAACTCGGGATAGACAGTGGTAGGCCGTAAGGACCTAACCGTTAACACGGTGGACCAATCCACTATGTAGTACATCGGTGCGTTCCTACCGAAACCGACCGGATAGCCGATAGGGTTTATCAAAAAAAAAAAAATGTCTTCTCCCGCTTTCCCCACACATTCAATAATGACATGTATTATACGAATTTGAATTAGACAATAATTCAACAATAATATTAGCATAAATTGCTTTACATGTATGGTGAAAAAGATAGTTTATGTAGTTAGTTTAATCATGCTAAACTAGTTAATTTAAAAGTCACCTTATGATTTTCCATTTAATACTCTCTAAGATTTCTTACATACGGCCATACGGGCCTAACATTAATTGTATAAATCCAGCCAAACATGGTATTAAATTTATTTAAATGGAATTAATTGTAATGTTGTCAACTTTCATAATACTAGCAGTTGGATATATATCCGTATTCTTACGATTGTTATAGTAGATATATATGTTATCTTAAAGTCGTGAAGAAAAGAAATTGTAGTAGATCCTAATTTATACTACTATTTATTAAACAAGTGAAATAATAAACGTTCTTCCAAATTTCATTAAATAACTTCACATGGGAAATTAAGTGACGCTGCAAATATTAGTAGATTGCTTTCGGTGTGAAGCTAAGTAATTTTGTAGTGTAGTAGCCCTTACTAACCTTGGCATCGATATATTTATTTTTATTTTTGTAGTTTTTTATTTTGTTTTATAATTATGTGAATCGTGATTAACATTAATACCCATTTAATCGAATCCTCTTTCTCCTCTGATTAAGACACCTATGCATGTACATTCGTCTACGAATATATAAGTAGTATACAATCTTTTGATTTTGACCTTTGAGTAACTGATATATTAATTATGTAGTCACTTTGCGTCCTGTCGAAGTGTCAAAACTCAAAACATAAATCTCTACATGAAAAAACATACTACCATAAAATAAATAAACGAAAACATTTTTGAAAATGGTTCGTGCTTAACCTATGGTAAGACATGGGCATGTACTGCTACAACGCTTTCTGGTTATAAGAAAATGAAATGATAGTAGACTGATAGCATGAGTCTAGTGTTCTTTCTCCTGTAACCGTTAAAACTTCCAATATTTTTATCAACTATACTCGACTTCTAGAAATGATCAATTTAAAACGAAAAAAAAAAAACAATCAACCATAACTTTCTTTGAAATTTTATATTTTGCTTTAAATCAAATGTCCAAGTTTACATAGCTAACCATTTTGTATTAGATTGAGGTACTTTTGGTACGGTTCTTCTTTGTACATTATTAGTAAACAACCCAAGACAGTCACCATCTATCATCTAGAGACTGAGAACAGTAGCACAACACACTTTACAAATTCATTCAAATCTCAAGAATTTCTCCAAACTATTTGTTTAGGACCTTTAGGTTGTAGTTGTATAGTGAAACTCATATAATCAATCAAATGATTTGATATCTAACTGATATACATAATTGAGAGCTTAATTATTAGATCCACCCATATAACTGGTTTATTCATAAAAATTTGACTACCAAACCTTGGACCCACTTGGAATACTTCATGGGGGTTTATTACTTAGTTTCAAGTCTCGTATCATCCTCAACTTCTTCCTTGTCCCCAAAATTTCAACAAGCCAAAAATATAGTAGTAATAGTTTGCAATTTTGAGATTTAAGAAAAGACTCATGGGTAGTTTTGGAAACTGAAAATTTATTCTTTTGTCCCCCTCTCATAAAACTTTTAATAAAACTAAGGCCAGGAGGTGGTTCACTTTATATATTTGCATTGTATTTGGGTTCTCTGTACCAATTCTGGTGTGTTGCCATTTAATTTTGTTTGTGTTTCTTTAATTTCAATTTAATTTCTTTGACTGTACAATTTTTACTTTCGAAATTATGATTTTTTTCTTCTTCCAATTTCAACTTTTATTATAAACATCTAATTCAAGTTGGTTGCCCATTTAATTTCTTGGTTCCATATATTAACTCCTATGAAGAAAATAAAATAAATAATGGTTGTTCTGTTGAGTATTTAATTTGATTTCTGTGTATTAGCCATTAAACACCTCTCTTGTTCTTTTCCTCCTCCTATTTAATAAGCAATGAATTGGATTCCTGCAAATATCTACAGATTTTCTTGTGTAGTATTTATTAAATACATTTAAGAAAATTAAATTACGGGTTTGAAGTTGAAAAAAGTAATTAAAATTCGATACTCTTGAGGCAAGAAATTAAATCAATTAACCCCAATCAATTGAAGTAGTAGTATACTTCAATTCAATCTTTATGATTCTCTCTCTTTCTCTCTCACAGTCCTTTCTCACTCATAATTAAATTAAGCCTTAATGAAAAATCTATCTATCTCCTCCTTTAATTTTCTCTCTGTGTTCTTTCTTGTATATAAAGGCCTAAGCTGAAGCAATCCAACCACCAGTAGTAATAAGAGAGAAGACTCTTCTTTGTGATCCAAGTAACCAGTCTTTGAGATCACAGGAACCCTCCTTCTCAATCCGCAAGTTTCAAGGTATTTTCTCCGACCAAACTCACTTATACTTAATCTCTTCTTGTCTGAACCAAATTTAATCCAATTTATAGATGAGTCGAAGAAGTCCAAAGCTGGAACTGAAGTTGAATCTTTCGCCTCCTACGTCAAGCCAAAGGAGGATGGTTCGATCTCCAAGCCGCTCTGCGACGACTTCACCGACATCACCGCCAAGCTCGTGCGTCTCTTCGGAGATGAACCAGGACGAGCCATCTGTGAGATACTCAACAAGTCCAGAGACAACCTCGATGGTTCTTGTCGGATGTCCTCGTTGTCTCATGTACGTTATGCTCTCAGAAGACGACCCTAAATGCCCTAAATGCAAAAGCACCGTTCTTCTTGATTTCCTCCATGAAAACGCCTCAAACGCAAACGCAGCCGCTGCTTCCTCTGGTCGCAAGACTCGAAGGAACTGATTGAGGACCAGTAAAATCAAAATCCTGTCTTTTTTTTTTATGTTAAGTTTTATTTTATTTATTTTTCACTCTTTGTTTTTTCTGCGAATGTAGCTGTTGTTTTATGAGAGTAGTGCTAATCACGCTCCACTCTAAAACCCCAAGAAGAGAAGGTAGGAGATGAAATTAGGGTTTCCCTATTCAAGAAAATTTCAAAAAGAGTGGAGCGCGAATAGCACTAACTTTTCTCTTTCTTTACTCTTAACATTTTTCTACCATTTGAGTTCTCTAATGGAAGAAGAATTTTTATATATATGTGAAAACATGTGTCATTGTCTTCTACGTATTCTACTCCATCGAATTTCTGATACTCTGTTTCGGATGCTCTGTTTCTAGGGCATCTCCGTTTTCGTCTAATACTCTGTTTCTTGGATGTCTAAAAGAAAAGTAGAGGTTATGTGTGTAAGACTATAACAAAAGTAGACATTCTTAACGTAGCAGAGAGATTGCTTACACATCACGAAAAGGAAGATCTAAAAAAATTGACTTGTGAAAGATATAGCTTGATCCTAATCCCCAGAAAAAGCTGAAGAGAAAACTATATAGATTCCTTGTACTTGTTGATAAAGCGCTTCAGAAGATAGAAAGAAAGAAAGAATGGTAAAATCAAAATGGTTAGTGATCAGACAAGAACTTCTTCTTGGTCCCACTTGGTAACATTTGACCCCACAAACTCGAAATTCTCCTGTTTTTTTATAAATAATTTTTTCTTGTTTTATGTTAACTCGAGATAGATCTCTCTGTTCATTCAAAAAGTCTTCAGAGTTTGTAGCTAATCACAGGCCTAAAAACTGAATTTTTCCTTTCCCTGCAAAAGAATCCATAACAAGATTTTGTCCTGAGCAATTGCATGGTTGGTTAGAAGACAGTAGCAGACAAAGGTTTGCAAATGGCAAAAAAAAGTGAGAAAAATCTAATCTAGGTGCTTTTTCTAAACATGAAAACTTAAATTATATAAAAATTATACGTATCTCTAAAAAAAATATTGCCGACGAAGAAGTACACAATGAAGTGAAAAAAATGAAAGCTGGTTAAAAATCAAAGAGGAAAGTAGTTCAGAGCATTAAAATTAAAAATAAATAAAAACAGAGGAAGGTGCTTGAAAATTTATATATATATTTTTGATAACAGCTGTTCAAAATGTTAAGATTTAGAGATCATTAAAACCAAAATATAAATGCAATAGTAATTGAGACGGTTGAGAATTGTAATGAGCGTTACGTCAGATTATAAATACGAATTTAATTCCACCTTCATTGCTCTTTCTCGCTCACCTCTTCAAAGAAAGAAAGAAAGAAATAATTATTATTATCATGATCATGATGATGCTACGAATTTATTTTTTTCTCTTCTTATATTTTTTTTTGGTTTATTACACTACTTGGCATGTCTTTAAAAGAACTCCATTTCTCTTCTTATCATTCACTAAATGCCACCTTTCTGTTGCCGCTTTCCAATTTTAGCAATCTCATCTTTCAAAGCTCCATGTTCCCTTATTCAATTCCTGCTTCCTACCTCTCCTTTTCTCTCAATTATCGCCGGTTCTTTGATTAACGTTCTACCTTCATAGAGTTAATAATTTATAACCCCACATTGAACCAAACCAGCTAGATTGTATTTAACATCTTTTAGGTTATTGGAATTGACATCAACCAAAGTCTATAGATTTTTTTTTAGTTTCTTGATGTGTACGTTTGTGAAAAGAGTTACAAGAATTACGGTTTATAATTCATCGATATATATTGAGAGTGGGTTTTTTTTTTTTTTTTTATATTGAGAGTGGTTACGACTTATGGTTTAATTAAGAATTAGAGAATCGTTGTGTGAACGGTTCCTGAATGTTAAAACTACTAGTCCCATCTACTAAATGAGTCATCTAATCATTTTCATGTTGGACATTAGAGAAGTATAATATGTGTGAATTTCACCATCGATGCCGAGCAGCCATGAGTGATGGGAAAGAGAGTAGATAAATTGGCGTTTCGAGGGAGAGAGACAAGAGGAGTAGTAGATTTGGTGTGGGCCCATTTGTAAGCAATAGGCCCACCAAAGATATTTGAGGACCAAGATGAATTAGATCAACAAATATACAAGGCAAAACTATTATCGCATGCAATTCCACGTTCACAAATACGAAAAAAGCATGCAAAATTCATCCTTACTTTGAATTTGACAATCATGTCTTGTGGTGTCCATTACTACTACCTTAATTAATGACGGGTTCTCTGACTATTAAGATATGCTTAGGTACATGCTGCATGCATATCTAATCTAAGATAATTACAAATGTAATATATTAGTGAGATACGTACGTATATCTCTACGGTCAGTCCACGTACGAAAGTCTTAGCCCACACAATTCGGTGTCCATGATCAGGACTAGCTTGTCACAGTCGTATATCTAAGAAAAATTAGGTGTCCAGATCCACTTATCAACAATTTTAAACACTTTTCTTTCTCGATAACATAACATACAACAAACGGATGTGGACATGAATCGAAACCAGGACATTAATTCAAATAACTAGACTACGACTACAAGTTATGATCATCTTATATATATATATATATATATATATGACTGATATATAGTTAAAAATCATATCTAGCAGTAAAATATGTGTAAGGTATGCCTTTTATACTATATTGAATTTGCCCGATGTTGTTGTTTAAGATGATCCCTAACATCTTTCCCACTAACATAACACAAAAAAAAAAACCCGAAAGAGATTTGACCAAGCTTTAAAGAGGTATGTCATAGTTTTAATTTCTATATTTGTTTCTTCTACTTAATTAACTAGTTATTGCTTCTATAAATGCATTTAAACTTGAGTAGTTGAAATCTTATGATGCCTATTCTTTATTGTGAGTGCAGTACACATTTAATTAAGCTTCGATATTTTTCTTTGTATCTCCTATTTTTTTCTAAGTCTCGCTGACATCTTTCATATCAATTTATATGGGGGAGCAATACTGTCAGAAAATTAAACATGAATTGTTGTTATTAATTTCTAGTATTGTCATTAATCACCAAACTTATTTAAAGGATTTTAAGAATCGTTGGCAAGAAACAGTCTCAAACTTATTGCTCGTATAAAAGTAGGTAGTGTTAGAATATCACATTGTTAATGAGATGGAAGTGAGACAATCAGTCTCACAATGAGCTACAACAAATTTTCCAACTACATCTTCAATATATTTTCAAGAAAATGTCCATATTCTTTAAACAATCTTGAGATTATTTTTTGTATGCACTGAAGAGAAGAAGGTGTGTAACTAAGAAAATCGTCTAACATCAAGGCACTGGAATCCCAATTCTTCAAGGATTATATGCAGCCCTGCTTTTAAATTGGGCCTAATTCTAATTTAGTGGCCCATTTTCAGTTGTCTTCTCACGTGAGGATCACGTGGCCTTCCCTTGCCCTTCTTCTTTCGTTTGTTCGAGAGGAGGAGATAGACAGCTAAAAAACAAAACCCTGGTTCTTAATTAAGCTTCTGTTTTATTCATCGTCTGATTTCAACCCACTAATCATGAATGCCAAAAAGCTGGAAGTTTGGACGATGTTCACGAGAATTTCAGGGCTTTCTTTGATTCAACACTGTCTCGTAATTGCAATCCCATAATCTCATTGAAATGTCAAGATGATTCATCATCTTGCTCTTTCTTGTAATCTGTTTGGTTTCTAAACAATTATAAGTAGGACATCGTTTTGGGCTTATCATTGGGCCTCTATCTTGTCTTTATTGTTTTGGTCTGAAAACATTGGGCCTATATCTTCACTTCTAAAATTTAAATACAGGGAACTTTTTTTTTTTTGGTAATTTAAATACAGGGAACTTTATGTATTTAGTTCGGTGATCCAAACTTTTTTTTTTTTGGGAAAATTGGATATAAAAGATAAATAGTTAAATTATTGTCCATCTATGCATTCTATATTTATAATTGATCATATATGTTTTAATATTGGTCATATATGCTTTAATATAATTAAAATCCCATTTTGTCTCTAGTTTCTTTAAATCTTGCTAAACTATAAAAAAATTTCCAAAATTAATTAGATTTCTTTCTAAAAGCAATTTGGAAAAAATATAGGGCAAAAACAATATTTATTTACTTTCCAAATTTTTTGCCTAGATAATTCCAAATCTTCTTTTTATTTGATTTTTTTTTATGGTTACATCTTCTTCGATTCTTTTGACGTCAACTTCTTCGATTTTATCTTTTGGTAGTTTTTTGGACTTTTTCATTTCTTTGGAGCTTGTATATATATGTAAAATTCTAGATTTCTTTGCATATGTTGGATTATTGTAGACGTAAAATTTGTAGACATAATACATTTTTTAAAATTTGTAGACGTAAGATTTCTAAACTAATGAGAATACGTGATCTAAAATTTGTAGACATAATCTTAACCTTAATATTCAATTTTATCAGATGTAATATTAACAATATTCAATTTCTTTATTTAAAGATTTATTTTCCCTTTTTTAAAAATAAATTCTAAATTATATAGAATTTGTTTTCTATTTTTTGTAGAATATATAAAAAAATATAAGAATGTGTTTTCTAACAATTTTAGAACATGGGTAAATTTTAGAAAAGATATTCTATTTTTTCTAGAAGAAAGAGCAAAGTATAGAATATGTATTCTAAATTTCGTAGAAATTAGCTATCTAAATACCGTAGAACAAAAATATGTTCTAAATTTCGTAGAACATGTAAAGTGCATAGAATACATTATCTAAATTTAATAGAAAATAAGCAATGTGTAGAATACACATTCTAAATTCAGAATCTGTATTCTAAACTTCGTTGATCATATTTTATTTATCCAAAACGGTAACAAAAACGATATATTTTCGACATTATAAATATCCTCATGACTTCTTTTTCATTTGCCTATAAATTGTTCTAAATTTTATATGAAAAACTAGTTAAACCAACTACAAAGGATAAATTAGAAATATGTGATATTTAGTCCTATAATGCATGGATGGACAATAGCTTAATTATTTATCCTTTATGTCCAATTTTCCTTTTTTTTCACCTATATAAATTGAAGAAGATAAAGCAATTAGTGATCGAGGAAAAAAAAAAAAAGCAATTAGTGATATGTGTATACAATAATTCGGGTAGAGTTTGACCCGAAATGGTTACAACGGTTTGGCATAAGAAACAAATAAAAATTCGGCATCCCAAGGAATGCAACGTTTCCTTGAGACTTTCTCTAAAAGATAGTACTAAAATATAAAAGAAGCGTCTTTTCCAAGCAATCTTAAACTTAACCTTTGTTTCTCTTCTCTCCCATTTCCTTTAATCATTTCACCCATTTAACGATCTCTCTTTCTCTCATTTGCAGCTTTCCTGAAACTTTTCAGAAACCTAATTCTTCTTATTGTCTTATGCTCTGAAGAAACCGGTTTATCCGGGTTTTGGATTTGATTCAAAACTCCAACCCTAAAGTCTGTTAGTTGAATCGAAGATGCTCGGAAATTTCATTACAAGAATCATAATGTGAGACCCTCTTTCTCTCTTCTCTTTATTCATCTGTGTTAATATTTAGGCGTCTTCGTTCTTCTTTCTCTTAGATTTTTGGAAAAATTGCAGATTGCTTGTGGGTTACGCGTACCCAGCATATGGATGCTACAAAAGCGTGGAAAAGAAAAAGCCTGAGATTCATGAACTTAGATACTGGTGCAAATATTGG